CACACACACACACACACACACACACACACACACACACACATTCTATTCGGGGGAAGATGGTAGAGCTGGTTTCGCATACAGGTTTGACTGGGTAGAGAGCTTCTGGCTGAGATGAGCAGCAACAACCGGCTTCCCCCGAGTAGAACATGGTCATTAAGGCCCTGTTTGTGGTCGCTTTCAATCCAGATGCAGCGATAATGACCATGCTTTCTATTCGGGGGAAGATGGTAGCTCTCAAAGGCAGCATACGGTTACCAGGAGAACGAAAAGAAAAAGAGAAAAATGAAAAAGAGAAAAAAAAAGGGGGTGGAGAAGGGGTAAATCCTTCCTCCTGAGGAAGCAAGCAAGCAGGGGTGAGGCCTCACTGCGAATGAGCTTTGGATTGAATGTTTGAATCTGGATGTGCTGGTGGACAAGTGCAGAAATTTACGATTTGATCTGTGCATTTCTACATCCCTGCTCAAAACCCATCAAGATTCAGGTGCTTAATCCAATCCTCTGTGCAATTAGGACCTCTCCCCAGGGGTGGTCATTTCCAACTTCCAAGGGATGCCGAAATCCCCGGTTTTCAGCAATAATGAAGCTTCAAGCCTTCAACGTCTTTTCATTTTTGTTACATACTTCAATAAAATAAAAAAAATAAAAACTGAAGAAAGCAGCAGTGAGACGAGCAAGAGGCCAACTATCACTCTTCACAGTTCTTTTTTAATCATTGAAAGGATTTCACCATGGTAACCCATGACCTGGACACCGGACACTTCCGGACTGTCTTCCGGACCAATGTCTGGACTGGTCCGGACTGTCCGGTGTCCGGCGAGAGAGAGAGAGAGAGAGAGAGAGAGAGAGAGAGAGAGAGAGGTCTGCACAGAGAGAGAGAGAGAGAGAGAGAGAGAGAGAGAGAGAGAGAGAGAGAGAGAGAGAGAGAGGAGTATACCTGTGCGTTGGCGGCCATAGCTGCCATGCATCTGCAGAGTGGAACTGTTGTGACAATTTCGTAATTTGTAATAATAATTACAAGTTCATCTGATTTTTCTCTAGTTCCTTTGACTTGAGAGTTGCGGTGTTGACTTTATGTCACACGTATGGATGCAAATCGGATGTCAATTTGAGCCCGGGACAATTGCATCATCCATAATCAAAGAGACTCCGACACAATCCACCATAATAAATCTCAACCGGAATTGGGCAAGTGGCGAAAGCTTCAAATGGCCTCCAACTCAAATGGAAAAACTGGCACAACTTGAAAACTTTGTGCCTGATTTTTTTTTGAAGATAAAAAGAATAGCTGAGACCGTTTCTCAATTTATGATAGTGCACACACACAGGCACAGGTGCACTGGGAGCCTTTTTTTTTCCTTTTTTTTTTCCACTGGGGGCCTCCTTGCGCCTGATTTTTTTGTTTTTCAAGTTCAAAAATATAGAACATTTCTCTATTGATGTGTGTCATCCTTGTGCAGGGCCCATGCTAATCTTCTGATTCTTCTTTCTCTCTCCCTCGCTCTCTCTCTCTCTTTTTTTTTTTTTTTCCGACCAGGCCTTCATTTTTTGAATTTTTAATATTTTTTTATTGTTTTTTTTTTTTTTTTTTTTTTTTGACACGCTCCCGCCAGTGTTAGTTTGTTCTGATTCTTCTTTCTCCGTATCGTTCCAATTTTAGGTTTTAACGGACGTCCGGAAGGACAGTTTGCGCTGGAATTGATTCCAACATTCTAGAGTAA